TGGCTTTCCTTGCCTAGTTTCCGTCTCTAGTTTCTTCAGGCTCCCGACTGCCAAAATGATACAATCAGTACTAGGGTTTTTTTTAAGGAAGGGCCCACTGTTTTTTCTCTTCAAGGAGAGGAAGACTCAGGCAATTCTAACACTCTCCTACTGGGTTAACAACCACACCGATGTTCTTAGGGATCAAAATTCAAACTGCACTCAGAACATTATTTAAAAAGAAAGAAAAACATTTAAAACCATTCTTTAAGCTAGCAAAAGTGAAATCTGGAAACCAGTGTATCAAAATACCCTAATGACTTTTTCCAATCCTCTTTTTGCAGGATTGGCAAACTTTTTCTGTAAAGGGCCAGATAATAAATATTTTCGAGACTTGCAGGACACAAGTTTCTGTCTCAACTGCTCAACTCGGCTATCGTAGTGTGAAAGGTCATAGATAATATGTAAATAAATGAGGATGGCTGTGCTCCAATAAAACTTTATAGATCCTGAAATTTGAATTTCACAAGAGAATTTTCATGTTCACAAGATAGTATTATTTAAAAAAATTTTTTCCCCAATCATTTAAAAATGTAAAAATCATCCTTAGCTTGCAGGCCATATAAAAATAGTGGTGGGCCATATTTCCCAACCCCTGTTCTAAAATGTTACATAACATATTATTTGGTGATCCCATTAACTCCCTTTGCCATCAAGTTGATTCCAACTCATTGAGACCCTACAGGACAGAGCAGAACTGCCCCATAGGGTTTCCAAGGCTGTAACCTTTATGGAAGCAGACTGCCACATCTTTCTCCTGCGGAGCAGCTGGTGGGTTTGAACTGCTGATCTTTTGGTCAGCCGCTGAGTGCTTAACCACTGCGCCACCAGGGCTCTTTCTATTTGGGTGATATGGGACTAAAAATACTCATGATAATATAATTTGATATGCTACATGCACACTTTATTAAAAAACATGAAAAATCAAGTACAGTTATTATTTTAAAAGAATAAAAATATTTTATGATCTATGTAGGCCAAAGAACCATCTTGTTATAGAGATTCTAACACCAATCAAAAGGAGCCCTGGTGGCACAGTGGTTAAGCGCTTGGCTGCTAACTGAAAAGTTGGTGGCTCAAACTCATCAGCTGCTCTGTGGGAGAAAGACGTGGCAGTCGGCTTTCATAAAGATTAGAGCCTTGGAAACCCTATGAGGCAGTTCTACCCTGTCCTATGATGTCACCATGAGTCAGAATCGACTCGACGGCACCCAACAACAACATTGGTCAAAGACTTTCACAGTTTGACAAGAAAGATAGGGCTTAGTTTTAGGAAATCAACTAAAAATTAGTAAGTACCATCCCAGTTACATTTAGCGAAATAGTCAAGTAGCCATTTCTACTCACAAAGATATAATTTTTTTTTTTTATTTTGGTACCAGATAAGTGGTTTAAAAGCTAAAATTATTCTGTGTCATATAATATAACATAAATGATGGTATAAACTCCCTCACCAGTGTCAGAGAGTATAATTATAAAGGACACTAGATTGATCAACATTTAAAAGAAAATATTTGAATTTAAGATTTCATAGGTAGATGAAAGAGATGACATATAAAAATCCGTAACATTTAGCCCTAAAGACGTGACTACTACTAAATGTGGTAAGGAACTAAATGTTTTAAACGCCTTAACATATTATTTTTAAGCTAATTGGTAATTAAGTTTGCGGAGTTAAACTTAACTCTTAACACATTATATTGTCCACCCACTGAGTTTACTGCGAGAGTAATTTTCTTATGGTTCAGCATTTAAAATGCCCTAATTAAGTTAGAAAAGATCTTAAAGCTATTATTAAGTGCTATTTTTATTCCTGATAAATTCGTGTGGTAAAATCAGCCTTCCGGTATATTAAATTAAAGGTGGTTATTTTAGTGGGTTGAGTGGCGTTCATTATTTCACAGCAATCCGAGGGAATATAAGTGAAAAGAATACAAAACAGGACCTGTCAAAACAGAATAACCAGTGAGCGACAGTTCCTGCAGTTCCCACTGAAAAGAGCAGTTAACGAGTACAGGGGGACCACCATCGAGACCTGAGCTGGTTTGAGAGGTTAGGTGAGGGTGAGCCCTCCCACCTGTGCAAAAACAAGAACTAAAGAATCCACAGGCAACGTTTTCTTATGAGCATTAAGTCAAATGTAACACATCAACAAAATATGGGCTTCAAAACTTATAAGGTGTCAAAATGTTATTTATAGGAATCCACCTGGCTGTAGAAAAAAAAATCACTACCTCGTTATTCAAAAGGCTTTGGAAAAATATTTAAAAAATTTTTTTTTCCAGGTCATGACAAAGGGGCACAACAGACGACAGAAAAAAAGGTCAGAGATTAATACATTTGACTGCTCAAGAAAAGATGCCAGAAGGTGGACCAAGTAAGTGTCAACAATTACATTTACTCAAAAACGATTCTGAAATCTGTAATTTTTCATGTAAACTAGTTATTTAATAGCTTCATTTTTATGATGTAAATTCCATCCAAATTATTCCACTTCTTACAGTTATCTCCTAAAATGTAATTGCACAACAAAGACTATGTGTCCATGAAAACAGACGAGCTTACCACTACATTTACAAACAAATCTATGTATCACCAGTAACAATTTTATGTAAGTATCTGATGTAATTCACTGGGTTACTTTCAATCTTTTCAGCTCAGCTCCAAATTGAACTTGGAACACTGCCGAGTCTCTAAATGGAAAAGCATATGCTGCTCTCAACTACAGAAGAACGGGCGGCAATAAATTAAATTAATTCTTGATGAATGAATCTTGCATTTATAAAGTCAGGGGATGACATCAAGAACATCAAGATTCTAAACAATTAAGTTACATTATCACTGCAACTTACATGCTTCCTAAACTCTAACCTGAATATGGACAAGGAGACACAATATTAAATGATTCATTCTTTTTTAAAATTTTATTGTGCTTTGGGTGAAAGTTTACAGTGCAAATTAGTTTCTCATTCAAAAATTTATACAAAAATTGTTTTGTGACATTGGTTGCAATCCCTGCAAAGTACCAGCACTCTCCCCCTTTCCCTCTCCCCCCGGGGTTCCCCATGTCCATTTGTCCAGTTTTCTTGTCCCTTCCTGTCTTCTCGTCTTTGCTTTTGGGCAGGTGTTGCCCATTTAGTCTCATATACTTGAAGCACAGTCTTCATGTGTGTTATTGTTGTTTTATGGGCCTGTCTAATTTTTGGCTGAAAGGTGGATTTCAGAGTGGCTTCAGCTGAGTTAGCAGGATATCCAGGGGCCATAGTCTCAGGGGTTCGTCCAGTCTGTCAGACCAGTAAGACTGGTCTTTGTGAATTTGAATTTTTTTCTACATTTTTCTCCCTCTCTGTCCGGGACCCTTAATTGTGATCCCTGTCAGAGCAGTCAGTGGGGGTAGCCAGGCACCATTTAGTTCTTCTCGGCTCAGGCTGGTGGAGGCTATGGTTCATACGGTCCATTAGTCCTTTGGACTAATATTTTCCTTGTGTCTTGGTTTTCTTCATTCTCCTTTGCTCTGGATGGGATGTCACTTGCAAATTTTTAAGACCCCAGATGCTACTCACCAAAGTAGGACATACAACATTTTCTTTATGAACTATGTTATGTCAACTAACCTAGATGTCCCAAGACCACGGTCCCCAGTCCTCAGCCCCAGTAACTTGTTCCCTTTAAGTGTCTGGATGTGTCTAGGAAGCTTCTAGGACTTTGCCTTGGTCAAGTTGTGCTGACTTCCTCTATAATGTATGTTGTCTTTCCCTTCACCAAAGTTAACACTTATCTACTATCTAGTTAGTGATTTCCCCTCCCCGCCCCTCCCCTGCCTTGTAACCACCAAAGACTATTTTTTTCTGTGTGTAAACCTTTTCTTGGGTTTTTATAACAGTGATCTCATGCAATTTTTGTCTTTTTGTGATTGACTTATTTCACTCAACATAATGCCTTCCAGATTCAACCATTGTGTGATGTTTCGCAGATTCATCATTGTTCTTTATTGTTGTGTAGTATTCCATTGTGTGTATGTACCATAATTTGTTCATCCATTCATCTATTGATGGTGATTCATTGTTCTGATTAACATTTGACAAAAGAAAAGTATTTTTAAGAAGAAATTTACCTGTGTGGTTCTTCCTGGTTAATTGTATGCAACACTTTGAAGCCAGCACTGTTAAAATAATCATTCAGGTAAAAGATCTCTATTTAACTCACTGAGGAACATTCTGAAACCAAAATGGTGCCCGACATCAGGGTCAACCACAGATACAGGTGGCAAAGGCAGCCACTTTCCCAAGTGGAATGAAGAACCACCACAAGGCTTCATACTCCCAACTGTCCAGCTGGTCTGAAATTGCCACTGTTAAGAAAACTAAGTTAAACAGTGAAGGTGCATTCATTTCCTGGGTTCTCCAATGGGGTGTGGCTCAGAGACTGTTGGGTGTTTCAAAGCGGAGCCCACACCTGGGGGGCTCTGAGGTTTCTATCACAGGTCTCTGTAAGCTTACAGCAATGAAGATGAATACATCGATTTCTCTTTCAAAGCAGCCAGCACAGGCTGGAACAGCCACCTCCACAGTGCTGGGTGGCGGGTCAAGGCGAGACACAGCCCTCCTTTGGGTCCAATGTAAGAGCAATCCAGAGGGCTCCCAAATGCCAGGGGAGAAGCAGGCTGAATGCATTAATGAGCTATGAATTATATATCCTGGGTCAGCTAATTTTCATTTTTGTGAATCTGAAAGGATTTGGAACTCACAAGCTGCATAAAGACATACAAATTACCATTCACTGAAAGCCAATTAGGTTCTTTGTTTCTTTGATCATCACTTTTCTGTCTGAAAAAGATTTCTACAAAGAGGACAATCACAATCCACAAAACTGGATGTAGAGATGATACCATATTGCAGGCACTACAAAAGTAATTAATTACAAACTAAGATGTCAAACAAATTCCGGATTCTTCAAAACTCTTTTTTTTTTTTTTTTTTTTAAGAAGGGGAGTATGTTACTAACAGTGTTTCATGCATATTTCAACAGCAAATGAAAAATTTTGAATCTGGAAAACTTCAATTGCTAGAATGATGTATGCATGAGTTGCATGTCCTTCAAGTTATATTTTTCTCCTGTTGGCAATTATTGGGCTCAACATAAAAGCTTCATCTAATCCAAACACAACAAAAGGATGCCACTTTTCCAGGATGTTCTAAGAAGACTGTTATCTAACAATACTAGTTAAGGTAACAGAGAGTAATTTGGCTCTGTTTCTCTTAATGATGATAATATAATCCTTCGAGCTGGCCTAGTTCTTAAAGTTATCATATCATACTTCTAACTGTACTTTCTGGCTCCCCCCTGAAACACCCAAGTCTTTCTTCAGGTGCTATTTCAGGAAGATGGTCTTTACAGCCATCCAGAAGACAACCTGCAGCGGGGAGGGAAATCCAACAAGCTAGTTGGCTACAGCAATAACAGAGGCATAACGGGATAGTGTAAAAAACTTATTTTTTTTTTTTTTACACATTTTCCCATATTTTATAAATCGTGTTGCCCTGGGAGCTTTCCATCCATTCAACAATGAACTATAATTTAAGGACACTCATGTTACCACCACCACTCCCACCAGGAGAGAGATGGAAACGACATGTTTTTCTCCATCTGAGTTGAGTGTGAAGTCTGAACTCAAACTCTGCTTCACAGGCATAAGGCCATGAAGAGCTGAACTAAAATGATGGCCACAAGAATGGAAAGGCAACTGTCTCTCCTCAATGAAAGTTTATTTCTTCAAAGTCTAAGAGAGCCTGCGATGAAAGGCCTGGTGATCTATTTCCACAAAATAGACCACCTATAGAAAAACAGCTTTACTCTGACATACATGGGGTTGCCATGAGTTGGAATCAGCTCAAGGGCAACTGGTTTACAACACAGCCAAAAAGTTTACTGAAACGACTGGGATAAGAAAGCTATGTGTAGGGGCATGGAACCAGTATGCATCACGGCTAACCAAAAGAACTGTGTCTATGACCTATAGAACAAGTACAGAATCTTAATAATGTATAAAGTCTTTTTTTTTAGTATACTTTAGGGTCCTTGACAGAGAAAGAAACTTAGCAAACAACTTAAGGAGATGCCCTGAGCTTCTGCAGAAAGAGAAACAAAAGGCTTCTAGCCAAGAAAAGAAAATAGCAAAAAAAAAAATCTTTAAAGAAATTATTCAAGACAAAATTCAGTATTCAATGTGGAATTTGACAGGAGCATAGGAAGTAATCCCTCCGCTCTTGCATAGGGAGAAAAAAGACCACAGCACTTCAATATCTTAGTTTTATCACATACGTAGTAGTGTTCTTTTGCATAAAGCATAGGTTGAAAAAGAATTTCCCAAACTTTTCTTGGGCTTTAGGTGTCAGATATATTTTATACATATTTTCTACCAGAGTCAGGCAAACAAAGTGCTTGAAAAATAAGCAGTTTCTCTGCCCCATTAAAATGCAACAGAAAGGCTCTAAAAGGAAAATTAAAACAGTGAAGACCTTACCATATAAATGGCCCCAAACCCTAACAGTTCTCCAGGCTGCTCTGGCTCAAATGAAACCTACTCAAGAACTAGAGTGAAGCCAACAGCAGGCTCCCATTTCTCATGCACCAACATGGTCGGACAGCACTCTAAGTCATTTGTTTTCTAGCTTACTTAGAAATTTTAAATCAGACTGTTAGTCTGTCGGATAATACCGTGGCTGCTTAATACCATTTATCACTCCTTGTCTGAGGACACCATCTGACAACAAGGTAAACTGCACTAAGGCTTTCATCTGTCCTCCCAGAAGGTTGAGAGCTGGATATCAAATGTGAGTGATAAAGTGTATATGATGACATGTCTTTCAAGGGGATTGCCAGCCCCCAAAATGCTACTTTCTCCAACTGTTCGTTGCTTGCTGCTGTCGTTAACAGCTGTCGAGTCCACTCCGACTCACAGCGACCTTACGTATAACAGAATGAAACGCTGCCCAGTCCTGTGCCATCCTCACAATCATTGGTATGTTTGAGTCCATTGTTGCAGCTATTATGTGAATCTGTCTCATTAAGGGTTTTCCTCATTTTCACAGACCCTCTACTTTACCAAACATGACGTTCATTGCTTAGTATCTGTTGTGTGCATGTGTGAATACTTCTGAACATGTGTTCCTCAATGACGTCTACAGATGTGTGTAAAACTAGAAAACTGGATCAGAAATACAGACTTACATATAGTCGCCACCACCTGCACTTCCTGTCTTGAAGCACTATCTTCCAAAATTTTCCGAATGGCCCTGCTTCTAGTTACTCTGTGGCAGCTTGCTATATCTCATCCCCGGACATGTGATGTTTTTATTACATAGTATCTTTTAAACACTTCTTTTCTCCTCCTAGTGGCTTAGCAGTTTTAACTGTTCTGATCTCCATTCTGCAGGTTACATCCACGTTTCCCCAATCTATCACCTTTTTTTTTTTTTTTAGCTCAATCTTATCCTTAAGAATAATATTCTATCTGGCCTTTTTTCTCTGGTCATAAATGTTGGTAAAGTCGACACCTCCAATTAAAAGAAGCTTTTAATGTCAAGTTCTGTGGCAGGAGTGTGATAAAAAGAGCTACAAAAGGAGATGGAATCAATGGTAACCTTATTACAGATTGTCTCTGGCTTGGCCCAGATGGGCAGAATCCATTAGTTATGAAGTGTGATTTATCTTCTCGCTGCATTAATCACTGGCAAGAAAAAAACCCATGAAACTATACCGATAACATAAAATAGAATGCTCCTGATGTTGTGTGCCAGTTGCCAAAATGGTTTTTATTTGGAAAAAAATCCCTTCGTTTCACATACTTTATTCAAAGACCCTTGTTTATTTAAGGAATATTTAAAGTCATATGTTAGAAAACTCAAAAAGTTACATAAAAACATTCACAGACAGCAAATAACATCCTCTTAGGCAAAGCATCTTGTTCCTCCCTTTCAGCACTTACAAAATTCCTATTCTCTACCGCATATGTGGGTTCTCCAGAGTACGTTTTCTTAATTAAACCTGAAGGTAATTAAAATCAACATTTTTTTTTTTTTTGGAACTGCAAGGAAAAGGCGTTCAAAACAAATTAAGTTTAAATAGAAAGTGTGGACAAAGAGACTGCAATGATAAGAATGACTTAACGCGTAATTGCGGAACAAATGGTTGCCTGAGGGTCTGCCGCTGCGTGTACAAATAGCCATACTGCCCATAACACAGAGTTGGGCATCGTTTTCTTTCATTACTTTTTCTTCTTCTATCCTTTTCATTCCCTATGATCTCATCTTCAATTTAATTACAATGGCTGAGGGGTATTCCATAGTACAGAAAAACTGTAGTGAAATCAATGAAAAAACTTTTAAAGAGAACTTTTTTCACGTAATACTATACAAAATATTTCAATTTCCAATTTTTTTTCTCTGTAAAGGAAGAATGTTGACTCCTTGGCCTCATATGTCAGTATGGATCTCATAAAATCAAAAAAAAAAAAAAAATTCAAGTCTTAAACAGATTATTCTGGTCAATCTAAATAAAGATAGCTAGAGAGCAGAATTATCACTCTCATGCACATTAAAAAGGATGATAAAATCATTTTGGTTTAAAAAGATGATGAATTAGATCACTTATATTGGTGGGGGGAGGGAAGATACAGTACTGAAATCCCAGTGCTGACCCGTTCTTCAGAGTGCTGTATATTATTAAAGAGTATCAAGTTATTCACTAAAAACCAAACCCACTGCCATCGTGTCAACTGTTGACTCATGGTGACCCCGTATGTTTCAGAGTACAACTGTACTCCCTAGGGTTTTTAATGGCTGTAATCTTGTGGATTGCCAGGCCTTTCTTCTGTGGCACCGCTGGGTAGATTTAAACTGCCAACCTTTCAGTTAGTAGCCAAGCGCAAACTGTTTGCGGCACCCAGGGACCATAGTTATTCACTTACCAAAAACACCAAACCCGTTGCCATCAGGTCGATTCCGACTCATAGACTCTTAAACTCAGGCTACATAATCTGTGTTTTTCTCCCAGCAGCTTTTAATTACAGGCGAGAACAAGCTCAGTCTCGATATTTGACTGTAAACAGTGGATGCGATCAAGTTTGTTTAGATAAATTTTAAGCGAAATATTTAAATTTTTAATCTTCTGAAGTAATAATATTAAAGAAATTTTCAGATACTTATAATTAGATTTCTTTGAGTGGAATTGGATTTAACTATTGATTACAGTCTTCCTTATTTTAAGTTCATCAAATCTGTCTTTTAATACATACCAAAGTATGCAAAATGAATTATATTTCACCTTCATGAGGAGCAAGACTCAATAAGGTACCTATGACTTTACAGACCAACCCCACATGAATAACTTTAGTGTTCAAAATATCACAGATTATTACTGAAGATGCGGCTCTGTGGCACAGTGGTTGAGAGGTCAGGCTGCTAACCAAAAGGTCAGCAGTTCAAATCCACCGGCCACTCCTTTGAAATCTTATGGGGCAGTTCTATAGGTACATTGATCGTTCACCTACATACCCTACATAGTTAATTTTCTGATCTGGCTGAAGAACAAGAATTGGCTGGAAAGGCTGCTTGGGCTCTGCCATTAATTTGCTGTAGCACAGGGTTTCCATTTTCTCATCTGTAAAAGTACTCAACAGGTGGTCTCTGAGTCCTCTTTTACCCCCAACCCTCAAAGAGCCCACATGCTTATTCTGTGAAGAATCTTTCATTGCTCAAAACTATGCAGGGACTCCCCATTACCAATACAGTCCAAACTTGGGTTTCCTAGAATATGTGCTTTCCATTTCTAAACACGTTTCACTTGTGAATTCAGGTTGCAATATCAGTTGCTGTGGAGTTGATTCCAACTCATGGTGACCCCGTGTATGTCAAAGTAGAACTGTGCTTCATAGGGTTTTCAATGGCTAATTTTTCAGAAGTAGATTGCCAGAACTTTCTTCCCATGCGCCTCTGGGTGGACTCGAATCTCCAACCTTTCAGTTAGCGGCCAAGCATGTTAACTGTTTTCACCACTGAGGAACTCCCAGGTTTCAATTCGTTGTTTTTAGCTGCTGTTGAGTTGGCCCCCAATTCATAGGGATTCCACACACAGCAGAACAAAATGCTGCCTGTATCACTGTGATCCAAAGAGTCTTCACAGGCTGATTTTCAGAAGTAGATCACCAGGCCTTTCTTCTTACTCCATCTTAGTCTGGAAGCACCCTGAAACCTGTTCAGCATCATAGCAACACTCAAGCCTCATTGACAGATGGGTGGCGGCTGCACATGAGGTAGACTGAACAGGAATCAAACCCAGGTCTCCCGCATGGAAGGCAAGATTTCTACCACTGAGCCACCAGGCTGCAATAGCTCCCCTATTATCTTTACTAGTTGAAATCTGACTCATTCTTAAAGACCTAGCTCAAAGGTCAATGTTTCCTTCCTCAAGTCTTCCCAATCCCTAAAGCTGAAACTGACCATTTTCTCCCGTGAACATCCAAGTAAGTTCTTTCTATATTTAAAAATCTGTCTGTTGATCGATCGATCTCTATCTATTTAATCTATCTACCCACCTACCTACCTATCTAATTAACTATGGACACACTTCATCTTTTCTATTAAATAGTAAGCCTCCTAAGAGAAGAAAAAGTCTTGTCTTTATATTCCCTCATGGTGACTAGAATAGTCCCTGGCACAAAGTTATTGTGCTGTTAGGTGTTGTCAAGTTAATTTTGATTCATAGAGACCCCATGTGACTGAATATAACTGCCCTATAGGGTTTTCTATGCTGTAATCTTTACAGGAGCAAATCGTCAGGATTTCCTCCTGCAGATCAGCTGGGTAGGTTCCAACTGCCAACTTTTCTGTTAGCAGCCAAGTGTTTAACTGTTGGGCCACCAGGGCTCTGGTACTCAATGATACTTTTTGTTTAATAAGTGAACAGTGTCTTACACATGGTAAAAGCTTATAAAGGGTGTGGAATTCACAGCACGTACTATTTAATCGAGGAGCCCTGGTGGCACAGTGTTTAAGAGCTTGGCTGCTAACCAAAAGGTCAGCAGTTCAAATCCACCAGTTGCTCCTTGGAAACCCTATGGGGCAGTTCTACTCTATCCTATAGGATTGCTATGAGTCGGAATCGACTCGGCAGCAATGGGTTTTATCTTTTAATCACATTGTCACTTATTTTATCTCTCTTGTTGAAATAAACCAATTAGATTTCTACTATATTCCACTTCAGAAGGATTTAACACTGCCATCTTAACTAAAGCAAATCAATTATTTAAGTAAAAAAGTACAACTCTCTGATTCCATAGTCATAATGTATGATATAATACATATTATGCAATGAAATATAATAAATATGAGGTTGTGGGAAAGTGCCCAACCATGTGGCTTAATAACGGAAGCCACCTTCTATCTGATGAAAAGAATAGGACAGGTATGAATACAGGGACTCAAGGGCCACTGCTGTTTAGATAGTCAGAGGAGTTAAGCTGATTGGGGGAGCTTGACCCAGGAGAAAAAGCTGAGTCCCTAAGAAATGGAATAGAGTACTTAAGGACACTGGGCTCATGGGGACAAAGTAGCCTCGTTTAAAGGCCCAGGCTGGCCCTTAAGGCCTCCCCAGCATGACAAGGCCTTCAGGTACAATATCAGCAGGTGCCTTCCATCCTAGACTGTCGTGTCCTGACTCCAGCACTGCTGACCAGCACCCGTTCAGTCTCACTCTCCACACTGGTCCAGTCCTTGTTTTTAACCACCCCCAACCTGCCTAGTCTAAGAAGGCATTTGTACTGGTTCTCTTCATCCTCCACTCCTGGCTGGCTTTGACACCCGCCTTTCTGAACAGGATCTGGGCTCAAACCTCCCCACTCCCAGGATCCAAGAAGGCACCACAAATAGGGCAACAACAGTATCTGCTCAGCTGTGAGGAAGTTCTATTTGTTGGTAATCACAGGATCCATTAGGTCAATCTGCAGCCCACGGCTAGGGTGACCATACAATTAATTGTCCGAACAGGGAGATTTCTAAGAATGACAGAGGGAATTATTACTAATTATGCTGGGACAATGGGTGTATAAACAGGGTCTGCCCCAGGAAAGCTGGGATGTGTGACCACCTTATGAGTGGGTGTTTTTTTCTAGCCTCATACAGGCTTATACATTGTTCACATTTCCACAATCTTTCTCCATTTTCATAAAGAAAGTGGCATATTTCTCATATACTATTTTATTAATAGAAGTTTAGAAACTGCAGAGTAATCAAAGTCCTGATAGTGTATATACATATCCGTACGTTTTCAGGAAGTACCACGGTACTGTCCTCACAGAGGGACACGCCTCAGCAGTGTAGACTGGGAATGATTCAGAGTTCTGGAGAGGAGAGTTTCTCAAATGACCCTTATTTCTCACTTGGAGTCTTCAGGTCATAAACGGGAAACGAACAAAATGAAATGAGATCATATTTCTAAGGTTAATTTTGGGTCAAGCTCAATACAACATTACAAAAATAAGGAGCTATACTTAAAGGTACAGGCTGTCCAAGACCTTTCATACATTTTCCACCAATATTTAATCTATTCGCTCAGCTAGCTTTAATAAATTGTTACACAGTGAGAAACCATCAAGTCACTAAAAAGGGACTATAAAATATTACAAGAGTTGTGATATTGCTGTAGAAATAATTTGAATTTAATTTTAAATATTGTACAACTTCTTTTATCAGGTGGAATTAAAAACAAATCAATAAAGCCAGAAGTAGAATGCAGAACAGCTGTTTCAATTACACATTATAAAAAAACTAATTTCACAATTTAAAAAAGGTAAACAAGCCAATACATTCGGTCTTATGACTTCTTTGACAACACACTATAAAGTTACATGCAAGTAAGACTTATGCAATAAAGTGTTACCGTCTACCAGGAAGAGGAAGGGTCAGGGGAGCAACAGGCACCGAGCTATACCTGTGCCAAATACTGGGGCGGGTGCCGCAGAGGTTGTTGGTGCTCATAAGGACGTTTAACTTAGTCTCTGAGAACCCAGTCATGGTCACACTTCCGATCTGGATTAGCATTCAGCACTTAACTAGGTCCTGGGCATTAACCCCTTGCCCAGTCTACCACATTATCACTTACGGGGGCACCCCATCCCCAGTCTCAGGAAGTCTCTGTTAAAAAGTTTATCAGGAACAAATGTCACTACATGATTGCCACAGAAATCAGGGAAACATCTAAGGGAGTGAATCATGTTCAATTTTGGTCAATAAAATACAGCTGCACAATGTCTAATGATTTTATTTGGGGCTTCAGCTTAAAAAGCATTAACAGATGTGAACTATTTCTTTTGGCTTCTTACCAGTAAGTTTAAGAGGTGGGAACTAACTAGGTAGTCTGGGTCATAGCATGGAAAAACTCTTCATACCTTTCCATTTTTATCCCTTTTACCTATCATTCCATTTTTCCCCCCAGAGCAATCTAAGTATAAGCTTGCTATGTTGGTTTGCTTCCCAGTCCACTCCATTTACCAGATGCTAGTAGACCGGATAGCTCCTTCAAGATAGGGCCATTCCTGTTCATCTCTGTGGGCTCTTCTGCACATAGCACAGTGCTTCTTCACCCAAGGTTTATCAGACACATTTGATCCTGGCCTTCCTCTTTTCTACAAGGTGGATGCCTGTCATGGTTTGAATTATGTCCCCCCAAAAATGTGTGTATCAATTTGGCTGGGCCATGATTCCCAGAATTGTGTGGTTGGCCTCCATTTTGTGATTGTAATTTTATGTTAAAGAGGATTAGGGTGGGATGGTAACACCACCTTTACCCAGGTCACATCCCTGATCCAATCAATGTAAAGGGAGTTTCCCTGGGGTGTGGCCTGCACCACCTTTTATCTCTTGAGAGATAACAATTCAGAAAGGGAAGCAAACAGAGAGTCGGGGACCTCATACCATCAAGAAAGCAGTGCCGGGAGCAGAGTGCATCCTTTGGACCAGGGTCCCCACACAGAGAAGCTCCTAGTCCAGGGGAACATTGACAAGAAGGCCGACGGAGAGAGAAAGCCTTCCCCTGGAGCTGACGCCCTGAATTTGGACTTTTAGCCTACTTTACTGTGAAGAAATAGATTTCTCTTTGTTAAAGCCATCCACTTGTGGTATTTCTGTTGTAGCAGCACGGGATGACTAAGACAGTGCCACTCTCTGTGGTTTGCCTTCCGTGTCTGAAGTTCAGTCCCTGTATCTCTTACTTGACCGTGAACTCTAAGCTGGAAATAACAGGGAATGATAAGTCTGCTACTGCATTAGAACCTAGGAAACAGCTCGAATATAACTTTTTAAAGGTAATGAAATGATAAGCTGTTTAAAATATTGTTTCTTTCAACTTGTACTTCCAGATCCTATTCATCCAAAGACTAAAGAAGCATTTTCCAGAATGTGCTCTTCAGAACTTTTGGTGTTAGAGATAATCTCCTGTGGTCATGTCAACTGGTTGAAATAGGGCACACTATATCCATCTCCTTCTCAGGAACTCACTGTGCTAGCAAATCAAAGGCCCTGAGAAGTCCTATAGTAAAGGGTTCTGATTAATTTTTTTCAAATGAGTATTTCCCAAAATTATTCCACCATGTAACCTTCTCCCTAGGTAACCAACATCCTAAGGAACCGAGGCTCCACAGAACCCACTGTGGGAAATTGGTCTAAGGCACCTCCCCTCCCTCCACCCACCCCTGAGATGCATAAATCCCTCTTAGTTACACCTTTCAGACCGATTTGTAAAACATATTTCTATTAAGGTTCATGATGCCAATTCTGCTTTGAGCTTTGACCAAGGCAGGCTATATCAGAAGAAGCCCAGTGGAGGAGGTGTGAGGTAAGGCCTCTAAGCCCCTGAGCACCCTGGATAGTGAAGGCTGATGGCTTGGTCCATCTGGAAGGGGTGTCCAACTTACAATGAGTTCTCACCTTACTCACAAGGAGTTCTGATAGCTTCAACTATGTCTTGAGCTGGAAATGGGTATTGTTCACCCACCAAATCCTCTCATAGAGTTATAACAATTCAGAAAGTACAGTAAGAGAAGGATGCAATTAAGAAAATGCAAGAAATACCTTAAGTGCAGAAGTGTAATATTCTAGGAGGCCTGAGGACGCACCATTAACGTTAGGCTGGTACCAGACCATGGGCATGTCAGAGCAGCTGCTGAAAGGAAGGGAGCCGCCACACAGGGCAGAATCATGTCATGGAAGCATCTGCCCCTTTTGGCACGTAAAATTTATACTTAAAAAAATTAAATGTCTCACACTTACCAGTTTGAAAAACTAAGACAAAATGAGTGAATCAATGGCTGGTTACAGGAGGAAAAAAACGTCTTTACTACATACGTGTGGAAAATGGCACAGCTTTTAGAAATCTGTTCAGATCTAGTTCTTGAGAAGCTAGTTATTGTTTAATCCAACTGAAGCAAGTACCTCTGAATCCTGCTTTTCAAAATGACAACAACAAATACTAAACTCTTTGAAACATGGCAAGGTCAGGGGAATTACTTTTCCAATACATGGACTAGGAAAGCACACATTAGCAAGGCCTCCTATAACATGTCTGATGTATCGTCTGAAGATACCTTATACCCAGGCTCCATAAAGTGTGAACAGTGGCTCACCGTGTCGTAAGTTGTTACGATCTTCTTCAGAACCTCAGGCACGATTCCCTGCAACTCCATCATGGGATACTGCTCGCTGAGATTCAGCACCACCAGGGGGGTGTTATCAGGCCCCAGAAAGCGGGGAGACACCGCCAACATGCACTGCATGAGATTGGCCACAGAGGAGAGGCCACACAGCTCCTTGAATGACACCACTGCGTTCTGTTAAGCAGAAAAAAGGGAGGCGTTTATAACTAACCAGGGGTTTTGATTTCTCATGTATATGATGCTTGACATACTTGATTATACTTGAACCTCATGGTACAACAGTTATTAGAAATGTTATGACTGAACTGGTTAATGACTATTTTATCCTGGGAAAAAAAGGCTAGTTTCCAAAGTAAATACGGTTATATAGGTATCTGTAATACAATTTATCAAAAGTACTGAAAAGGCAAATAAGCCAAATTCTTCTGAAGGGCACGGCCTCTTTTTAGATCAAAGTTCATAGTAATGCTAATATTGATATGCAATTATGAACAAACAAAAAGAATGGTTTCTGCATTCAAAGAAGGTAAAGATCAAGAAAAACCCAATCAGGTGTGTAAAATAAGTATCAACTACGCCAGCTATCCAAAAAGGAAAGGAAAATGTGTGAGGCAGAAACTTGACTCTCTCTCCCCTGTTTATGTCTGCTGCTTCCAAATCTAAAGGAGCTTGGAGGACATTGCTGTTTATCTGTACCCAGTAGGGTGTCCTGGGTATGCAGAGCCATCCCCTACCCATGTCTTCACTGATCTCAATGCCCCTTCTTTCCTTCTTTTCTTTTTAAATCACCAGACAAATGCCATTAAAATACTCATTAAAGAAAGCCCTTCAAAGATGTAAAATGCCAAAGCTGGCACTCCTTGAGCCCTTATGGAGTACTAAGCTGTACTAGCCATATTACCCATGACCTCATCTGATGCTCTCAACAAGTCATGCTATGGATGAGGACACTGAGCCTTTACTATAATAACTTTCTGTTCTTTGTCTAAAGAAAGACAGCAGGGTAAGTGAAGGAGTCAAGATTTTACCTGAAATCTGTTGAAGCTGAGGCCCATGCTCTTTATCACTGTGCTACAGCATAACAGGTAAATTCTAATCCAAATAGAAGCCAGGCTTGTTATTCCAGGCACACACGGTTCCTGGTCTGGGCTGAGCATGGCAGCCACGGGGGAGGAATTGAGACCCTCCAGGCCCTCTGCCTTCTGCTCTCAAACACCTCGATTCTTGAGAATAAGCAGTACTTTAGTCTCAAAATAAAAATTTCATTTTTGCTAATATCGTTTTACACATGCGCATGAAACAATGTATCATTTTGCTCAAAATCACTTTGATATTGACTAGTATAAAATCATTATTGGGACATCTACAGTGGGGTCCCCCAATCACTCTGTCATATCTCCCTGTTTTATTTTCTTCATAGCACCTACCTGTATCTGCAGTTATTCCATTTGTTTATTCACCTGTTCCCTGTCTCTTTCCCCTTCCCACTGTGCACCCGCACTCAAATAAAAGCTCTTAAGCACAGGTAGCTGACCTGTCTGTGCACTGCTGCATCCCCACCGCCTAGCCTGCTTGTCCTGGCGGGGCTCCTAAAAAGTGGCCACTGACTGCTCTGTCACGTTAGCAGACACACCGGCTCTGGGAAAGACAATACTCGAGCTCTGGCGGGTCGAGGAAATTCTGTGCCACACACACAACAGCAGCTTAGGAGCTGGCAACAGTGGGGCTCACTCAGAGCTGAGGGTTTACCAAGCCACGCTCACTCTCAGAAACAGGGAAAAGTCTTCTACATTTCTGTTATGCATTTACGTTGAGGGAAAGCAAATAAAATTTTCCCATTATGAGAAGGTCTTTTTATTAACAGTGTATCCACAGAATTGGCTGACGGTTAAAATACGTTGAATTTTCTGAGTTAGATTTTACTTGCTGGTAGCGTTCTTTACATAATGGTTATTTAAAAAATAAACAAATCCAGCTTTATAAACACCCACTGAGCACCTATTGCCCACAGGGTACTTCTCACACACTAGAACAGGTGAGTGCTGAGGTCTCTGGGCGGGGGGCCCATGTTGTACAGTTCTGTATCACTTGTGGGCCCTAGTATACCAATAGGTGCTTAATTAAATACATAATTCTTTACTGATTGCTTCTAGCCATTATATATTCAGAGATAATTATGATCTCAGGCTACTAATAAATCACAGACACATACCCCTCATGTATTTTATTTGAACAATTAAATAGCTGTCTGTGTTTTCAAAAATGACTAAAACCAAGAGGAGGATCAATATGCAAACACAGTGGCTGTTTTAAGGACCCATTTCTCCAGCACTATAGTCCTATGGTTAGAGTGCTCAGCTGCCAACCGAAAGGTCAGCAGTTAGAACCCAGCAGCCGATCCACAGGAGAAAGATGTAGCAGTCCGCTTGCATACAGATTACAGCCTTGGAAACCCTATGGAACAGTTCTACTCTGTCCTATCGGGCTGCTACGAGTTGGAATCAACTCGATGGCAATAGGTTTGGTTTTTGGTTTTTGGTTTTTATAGCCCCATAAGAAAGGGCTGGAACATCTCCTTTTTATATTGATAGGTCATCAATTTGTGTTCCAGCTGTGGAATATTGAGAAATACCAGAGATTCCATGTACACTGACACAGAACGCAGAACACTGTTAAGCAGCCATGCACAGGGACTAGGATGACCGTGTATGAGACAGCGTGGAGATTGGTTTATTCTAATATGCAATCAATACTGTCAACATCAACTGTAGTTTTGGAAATTTAAATGATAAAACATGAGGCTAGTGCTAGACATTCTGATAAACAACTAGAAAAACAAATTAGCTGAAATCAAATATACTCATTATAAAAACAAATCTGAAACAGTCATAAACTATACATATACACCAAGTGGGAAAACTGTCAAATAGTTAACCACAAGAACGTTACCTGCATGTTCTCTCTCAGATCCGTGGCTTCCCGTATGGGGGGCTGGGCGTTCTTGAACACCTCATCTACACTTTTAATCCACAATGTTCTCATTGAAGCATATTCCCTGGATTTCTTCCCTTTCCTCACAGACAGGCCCCTCTTATGAGGTTTCCCTCCTCCTCTTCGGTTGGTGATAGCCACGTGGACAAATAGAGACGCATGTGCTAGGACCTCTCCAGTCAGTGACTGCAGGGGCACATGGCGGTAGCCCGTCTGTAAACATTCAAAGGGAATTGTGTACTGACCGATAAACTCATCCCCGATGTAATCATCATCTAGCACTACAAAGCGCACCATGGCCAGTTCAGGCAGGTTGATTTGAAATTCAAAGCTTTCATCAAAAATGGGCGTGTCTCCATTCTGGTGCACTGTTTTTGTCCTCTGTTCAGCACAGTCAGCAGGGATCCCGTGAATTTCAACGTAGACATAAGGATCCACCACGTCACCTTTGGCACCTGATCCTTTGGGCTTGGGAAAGTTCTGCCCACTGATGATCTTAATGTGAAGAAGCTGAGGTGAGACTCCTGGGACGGAGTCTTTTGTATTGGCACTGAAGAAGGAGACTTCCTCCCTCATGATGGCTGGTCGGAGGACGTAGCCACAGTTCCCATTCTGTCTGAACCAGCCGATATTCAGGTCCATCATCAATCCTGGCGTCTGAAAGTTCATGGCTACTATCTGACAACCACATTTCCAAAAATCTTGAGGGTTCATGTTACTAGAGTCAATTCTCATTGGACTAGGAAAAACCCGAGCAAGAAAACGTTTGTTATAATTTACAAAGTCCCCTGGATTTTCATTGGCGTATTTGCTAGCAAGTACTTCATTAAACGAGCAGACTTCCCAGTACTTCTGAACCTGAAATGACACCTGAAATTCTTTGAACTGAACTGATTTGCAGATGCTGACCAGCTCAGAGAGCTCTTTACAAAGCTGAAACCGTTTCACAGGCAGATGGTTGGGTTGCTCCACGTCCTCTTTTCCCACCCTCTGAGACATTTCTGCTCCTTCATCTTCATCAGTAACATCTCCTTCTACTCCAGAGCAATTTGAGGAAAGTTTCTTTGCTTTGATCAGTATTTTCCCTTTTAGGATATCTGGGGATGGCAGATAAGATTCCTCAACATTAGGTAACGTTGTATAGAGCTTGTCTCCCAAAATTTTCTTCATATGTTGAACCATCACCTTCTGTTGTTTAATGGAACAGTGGTTTTCTAAACACAAAATAAGAGGATACTCTGAAGCAAAGAATGCATACGTGTTAATAATATCAATGACACTGCGGAAGACTATCTGAGAGGTCATGGTATGGCCCGTGTAAATCACAGGTTCATTATCTGGCCCATCCCATACATCTAATTCAACACTCCGGCAACCCATTTTAAGAGCTCGAATGTATCCTGTGATATCAGAGGGACCCCGGAACTGATCCTCTATTAAGTATGTATTATGAGATGAGTTTATAAAGTAATGAGACAAAGGTTGCTTCATATCCTGACAGACCTTCTTATGTTCCGGATCAAATATGTAACAGTCAGGTGACATAAGGTAATTAGTGAACCCATCTATGGAGAGCCAGCCCTTTTCCTGACCCTCTTTGGATGGCTCATATTTGTGAATAATTTCAAGGCTTATTTCCTCATTTATATGTGCCACACCCTGTTCTGCCTCAAGAAACATCATAAGGTCCTTGGTGTCAAGGAATTCTTTATTGCTTGAAAACTGAACTAAAAGGAAATAAATTTCAGGTCTAGTACAAAGCTCATGGAAAACTTCAACAAACTCTTCCTTTGTGACTTCAGTACCAGCTTTGTCCTTGAATTTGTGCAATTCTTTGAACTTAAGCTCAATTTTGCTCATTTTTAAACCAGGATTGAGGTTTCTGATACACTGCACAGCATTACACAGGGTTACATGTCCAAGGTTATCTACATCTATTTCACCAAACATTTGTGAAACCCAAGAAGTCCTCATGTTGTCTTGGCTACTTTCTAACATATCAAGTGTATGTTTTCCGTAAGAAATTAGGTACCGCAGTCCAGTAACCCAGATGTTTGCAACATCTGCAGAGTTGGCAACCAAATCAAGTGATTCATAATTCTCTCCATATATGATCGAAAATGCACAATCTTCAGATATCTGGTCAGAAATGCCATTGCTACGGAATATGTCTGTATTTTTTCCTGTTCTCACTTCCTTGACGGATTTAATATCAATCTTGGCTTTCTCAGAATCCTTCTTGGACGGCTCCCACCTCAGGCTCTGCATGTCGGCATCCAGTAAAAAATATCTATGGTAAATCCTAGAGTTGGATCGAACCTTTTTGAGTTCTGAACCTTCAACCATTGAATTGATACAATCACTTGCACTGCTGATCTTCTTCTCTGTTGGCATGCTGCTGAATGATACCGTCTTCTTCCGTTCTCTTTTCTGTTTTGTACCATCCTAGCAGACAAAAGAAAATATCGAATTAGAATAACATAAATATAGGTTTCTATGTTCAAGACTAGGAATAACAATTTTATTTCTTAAAAAAAAAAAAATCAAACTCAGGATTTCCTGTTCTGTGTCCTATGATGAATGATTCTCATTCACTTCTAAAGCTCAGAAGTGGTCTTGGAGTTTACTGCCTAATACCAACAGGTAAGAAATTATTACTGAATAATTGCAATTCATGTGTGTCAAGAAACACAATTTCAAAAACATACAATAAAATCTTGTACACAGAACCAGCTGCATAATTTGCAGGGCCCAAGGCGAAATGAAAATGCAGGATCCTTTGTTCATATATTACTGAGAAGTTCAAGAAAGTGACTGACCAGCAGTAAGCTGATTGTGGGGCCCTTATGAGCGTGGGGCCCTACGTGATCCTGTGTGACTGCATAGGTCACATGCCCAAGAAGCTGGCCCTGCTTGTATACACATCTCCATCACCTGTGTTGTTCAAAGGCTTGTCGCCAAATCACTTGCCTCAGAATCACCTGGGCTACCTGGTAAAACACAGACTCCTAGGCCCATGAAATCAGATCTCTGGGGGTGATATCCAGAAATTTGCCTTTCAGGTGGCACCCCAGATGACGGGGATATACACTACAACTTGTAAACCACTTCCTGACCGCTTGGACTCACTAAGATGCCTGGGCTATTTCTGGAAACTATATATACCAAGGAGCCCTGGCGGTGCAGTGGTTAAGAGCTACAGCTGCTAACCAAAAGGTCAGCAGTTTGAATCCACCAGCTGTTCCTTGGAAACCCTATGGGACAATTCTACTCTGTCCTATAGGGTCGCTATGAGTCAGAATCAACTTGACAGCAATAAGTTTGTTTGTTTGTTTTATATATATACCCAAACCAGAAACAGCCAAGTATGAACCATTAAAGACCAAGAGTGTTAAATGGGTAGCCTCCAGAATTTCAGCAGAAATTTTTGGCTCTTCAGAGTTTCAATTATATCAGTCATGGTCCTAAATAATTTAGATAGAAATGGTTTTACAGTTGCAGTTGTATTAAGTCTGGGTGGGAGGCGTAGATTACAGCTGAAGGTGCTATTAAAATTCTACAGCTGGATTTACTGAAACCTACTACTATGAACCTGGAGCCCTGGTGGTGCCAGTGGTTGAGTGTTCCGCTGTTAACCAAAAGGCTGGCAGTTCGAATCCACCAGCTGCTTCTCAGAAGCCCGATGGAACTGTTCCAGTCTGTCCCTCTAGGGTCGCTGTAAGTCAGAATCGACTCAATGGCAACAGGTTTTTTTTTTTTTTTTTTCACTACTATGCAGCAGGCTGATGCTTGGAACAATATCACCTATGTATGTCCAATATTAACAGATTATCACCCTGAAGTGAAAAGCTTTAGGCAGCATCTATTTCTAAAGAAGTCTGCATTACCAATAATACACTTCTCAACTTTCCTGCATATTGTAACAGATTCCCACCCTAAGGAGCTGACACTACATCAATGTGAGTATTTAAGTTCTATCCCTGTACAGATGTCTTTAATATTATTATTTAATTGCTCAAATGACCTCACAAAATCTTTCACAACTTTAACCTAAAAAAGATTTTATTGCCTTTCAGGAAGTATATAAAATCTGCTATAAATTTCTAATAAAAGTCACTGTATTCATAGATAAGGAATAGGAATGGGGGTTCAGATTATATTACTTTCATGGCAATAAAGAAAAGAGCATGCAAAATACTATGCAAAGGCAATTCTAACTTTCCTGCTCTGGATAGAACCTATTTTGAACAAAACCTCCACTGTATTTTAAAAAGCTATTATGCTATTTTCTATGTCTGAAATTCAAAACCACTTTTACTTTTTGACTACCTATACTTCCAAAAGCAATCTGCAAAAGGTAATTAAACTTAAACTTTAAATCATATAGGTATCATTTCCCTCAAAGTTTCAAAATGAGCCAAAGAGGCTTTTGTGATCTGAGTGCCAAAATAAAACTAAAAGCCACGAGGTAGAGTATTTCTTTACAATCATATCCTCAGAATAAAGTGCAAAAGATGTAAAAACTGTGGTAATTGTATCCATAAAATATATCGTATTATAGCTGTTCCAAATCCCTTAAGTGGAGATTGTATTCTATCTATTCAAGTGAGTTGGTATGAAATTAAATCTGTATTCAGCCACGCATAAGAGCATGAAACAAATGTGTAAATTTCCTATTTTTCAGAATGAAGGTTGTCTATACTTTTAAAAAGACATATCTACCTTTAAAAAAGACAGAATACTAATTATATAACAGAATTTTATTTTCCTTATCAACTGTACATCAAATGCCACCAGTGAGAAGATAAATGGAGATGTTTATTCATTTATCCATTAAAAATATATACAGCATTTTCTTAACATCGCCATCTTTCATTGTGCCATTTTTATGTATGGGTTAACATTTTACCACCACATTCTATTTTGTTACAAATGATACTTTTCAAATTCATGGGTCTATTTGTGATTAAGAGGGGAAAATCAAATTGTACCCTAGGTCAATAGCGCACATGCGTTCACGTGCCCACACTTGTGGGACAGGCAGCAGCTTAAAACATGTGGCTTTAAAAACACTACCTTGCTTTTCACAAACCAGTCCAGGCTTTGGTCCCTGACTTCTGATCATCGATCACAGACACATGAATATGACAGCCCCCAAGCACAGGCTGATATAAGGACAACACCTCTTTCCTGAGACTTCCTGTCACTTCTTCCCCGTCTCTCTGCTGTTGCCTGGAACCATCTTGTCCTCTCCACAGCACATGCAAGCCTGAACGAGAAAGTCTGTGTTCCTCTGTCTGGCTAGCAGATAAAGCTATTAGAAAACATCACTAGGGGAGATGTTTGCTCAGAGACCAGCAAGGAGGAGAGCAGGTGTTGAGCCTGCACTCATTACTGGGTAGACCTGAATCACTGGCTGGAAGCCACGGGGATGTGATGACAAGATAGGGAGGCAAGCTGGTTTCCCACAACGGGGACAACAGAAGCACTTGTGTGGGAGGGAAGGAGAACTGGAGTTCAAAGGCAGGAGGTCCGCATCCCCAACCTACCCAACTCCCCGGAATCTTTATCCCAGTCCTCATTTCTACCGCATTCACTTTCTAGCCTGGGAGTGATCAAGTGCTTGCTTAAGGGAAGCAGCTGGTCCGTAGCAGAGTTAGTATCTATTTCTGTGTTGCTTCTTAAGGCAGGCTGGTTTAAATTTAACAATGAAAAGTGATCAAACTATATGTGCTATAATGATATAATTATAAAGAAAAGAAAAACTAAATACATCTAAGTATATGCACCAATCGCTAAAGCCAAAAAAAAAAAAAAAACAATTCAAGTTTCTTCTGAGACAAAGATGCCTTAAAATATATTTTAAAATGGTACAAATCATGTCTCAGAGCTGACTGGAATACTGTTAAGTCCTCGTCACCTAAAGCTGGGTGCTGAATACAACAGAATGGAAACTTGGTCTATTGATGCCTTTTGATACCTACTAGCACTTACTAACTTCAGCAGAAAAAAACAGAAAACAAATGTTCAGACAGGAAGAAAACCAGCTTCCTCCATTTGACTTAGAACTAGGAAAAAAACTCAAAGATTCAACTATTCATTTAACTAACAGATATTTGCTGAATAACAATTTTGTGCCAGGAATGCTTGTAGGTAAAACGATGAACAAGAAACCATCAAATTCAATGCTAAGGAAATTTTTCTGCACTATGGTGATTCAGGAAGAATAAGCCGTGTTTATAGAACTTATACTTAGCATTAAAAATGGAAATGGCCATATTGAGTCCTGTGGAAAAACATGCTTATTTCTAACAAGACTGCCTACTTTATTGAATAGAAGATTGTCACTGCCATTTAGCCACTAAAATCACCATCTGGAATATTTAAGAAGTAGTAACACATGGTCAATTTCATAAATTTCCATCCTGAAATGAGGTAACAAGTAGGTGGGCCTTGTTTCTTCTGCTGGCAACAAGGTGCTTTATACTCACTCGACTGATCTTCTAGCTCATTCTGGAGAAGAGAATGAAGTGCACACAGACAGCATTTGATGCCTTGCTGGAAGGGATTTACCTCCTATTTTCTAGAGCATTTCACAACTGATTGGTTTCCATTTTCTGTTTGATCATTCCTCAATTAACTTCATGAAAAACCAATATATCAATATCCAGATTCGATATACTGGCAAAAATAGTGAACAATTCCATAGAGTGATTCTGGTGTAGGGGTGTGGGTACATCAGAAAAGAAGGGGTGCAGTAAGAAAACAAAGCAGCCACTTATCCCTCTGGTTTGTTTTCAGTCACGTTATTTAATTTGAATTCTAAATAACATTAAAGATGATTATGACATCTTCATGCTTATCAAAGGAGGTCTAGGATTAAAGAGAACTGGGAAACACTGGGTTAAAGAAATTTCTGTCCTTAACAAAGAAAAACAACATACACACAAAAACATAAGAAACAACCCGAGGTCCATCAAACAAGCACAGCCAAGTCCCGACCTTTCTTCAGCTCAATCACACTAACTCTGAATTGAAAGAATAAGGCATGCAGGGCACATCAGGGTTACCTTGCAAGTTTTCTCACACATCTTTAAAACACTGATGTGCTATCCATGATGAACAAAAAGAAGAAGAAAAAGAAAAAAGAAATGGAGCAAAGCAGTCACTCTGAAGGTCATTTTATAAAATAAGATGAATTGAAAAAGAATAAAACACAGTAACTCGAAGAAAAGCTAGGTATGACCAAATGCTGCTTCCTGCTCACATGGAAGGGCCCTTTATTACAGGTAACAGAAAGCTAACTGGCCTGTGGATGCCTCTCCTCAATGAGTCCTCCTCTCCCATGATGCTCTCTATGGTATTCCAAAATCCCACCCTGATCCAAGTTCCTTAAGGAGTCCATGAGGGCACAGATCTCATAATGGCTGGGAAACCTATCCCAA